GCAAAACTCTGTCTTGAAGGAAAAAAAAAAAAAAAAAGAAAATGGGTTGTTCTGGAAGGGTATCCATACAGTGACATCTTCGTAATAGCAAAGGCTGTTATTAGCTGAGCCCTTACTATGTGCCGAGCACCATGCCAGGCACTTCATGTGCAGAGACTCAGTTACTCCTCATGACAACCCTAAGAAGTAGATACTTCTCTTTTTTTTTTTTTTGAGACGGAGTCTCGCTCTGTCACCCAGGATGGAGTGCAGTGGCGTGATCTCGGCTCACTGCAAGCTCCACCTCCCAGGTTCATGCCATTCTCCTGCCTCAGTCTCCCAAGTAGCTGGGACTACAGGTGCCCGCCACCACGGCCGGCTACTTTTTTGTATTTTTAGTAGAGACGGGGTTTCACCGTGTTAGCCAGGATGGTCTCGATCTCCTGACCTCGTGATCCGCCCGCCTCGGCCTCCCAAAGTGCTGGGATTACAGGCGTGAGCCACTGCGCCCGGCCAGTAGATACTTTCCTTAAGCCCAATTTAGAGATGAGGACATTGAGCCTTGGACAGGTGATGTGAGCTACCCCAGACCACACAGCTAGGAGGAGGTAGAGCCAGGAACCAGTCCCTACCCTGGGAACCCTTACAAAGGGTTCTTCTGATGTGTCTCAATAATCAGGATGGTAGTTCTTAACATAACGTCTTACCCACTATCCTGGATTGGCACCATGGAAGAATACTCTGGGAAATTTCTTTTTGAAATACAGGTTTTATGAAAACACACACACACACATACACACACACACACACACACACACACAAATTTTGAACTGTATTTAATGAAATGCCTGCCAAAGTATGCAAAGGGGCAGTGGATGGATGTCTCTTACTTTGGATGCAACTTACTTTGAAATGCAACAAGAAATAAGGTGGATGGATGGGTGGACAGAGGGAAGGACAGGTGGCTACAGCTGAGATAAGGCAACTAGAGTCAGCTGTTCATTGTGGAATCCGCATGGTGGGTGATTGGTGTTCACTGCACAGTTCTTTTCAATAACGCAACATCTGGGAAGAACTGTAGGTCCCAGGGCCGCAGCACAGCCTTCCAGCATTGGTATATCTGGGGATGGGACCCTAGAATGATTCTGGGGCCCAGCCCTCCCCCACTCAGTGACAAGCAAACTTCCTGCTGTCTCACTCACAGAGTATCACCAGGTCATGTGAAAGCCGATGCATCTTGGCCTCAAGAGGTGCCCTTTTTTGTCCACTTCACGCAGGCCCAGGGCTGGGCTCAAGGGAGCGTGGCTAGAATAGGGTAAAGTCACACCTTGCTGCCTGATGACTGACACTCCCGGGCCTCTGCACCGATGGTGATGTCTGCTGTCCTCGGCACACTGCCATGGTGTGAACAGAATGTTTGTGCCCTCTCCCCACAAATTCCTATGTTCCACTGTATTTGGTTAACTATAATTTATTGCATAGTCTCAGAAAACTAGAAGAGACTGGATATGGTGGCTCATGCCTGTAATCCCAGCACTTTGAGAGGCCAAGGTGGGCAGGAGTGACCTCAGGAGTTTAAGACCAGCCTGGCAAACATGGTGAAACCCCATCTCTACTAAAAATACAAAAGTTAGCTGGGCGTGGTGGTGGGTACCTGTGATCCCAGCTACTCAGGAGGCTTGGGCAGGAGAATCGCTTGAACCTGGGAGGCGGAGGCTGCAGTGAGCCAAGATTGTGCTCCTGCACTCCAGTCTGGGCGACAAGAGCAACACTCCGTCTCAAAAAAAAAAGGAAAAAATATAAGAAGAAAATTTTAAAAAGGGAAAGAAAAAGAAAGTTAATTCCCAATGTGAAAGTGTTAGGAGGTAGGTCTTTTGTGAGGTGATTAAGTCTCATGAATAAGGGTGGAGCCCTCATGAATGGGATTAGTGTCCTTTTAAGAGGGGTCCCCGGAGAGCTCTTTTACCCCTTCCACCTTGTGAAGACACAGTGAGCCAGAATTTGAGTCCTTAGCAGACCCTGAATCTCCCAGTGCCTTGATCTTGGACTTCCCACCTCCAGAACTATGAGCAGCCTGGGCACAGTGGCTCACACCTGTAATCCCAGCACTTTGGGAGGCTGAGGTGGGAGGATCATATGAGCCCAGGAGGTAGAGGCTGCAGTGAGCCGTGAATGCACCACTGCACTCCAGCCTAGGCAACAGAGCAAGACCCCCATCTCAAAAAGAAATTATGAGCAATACATTTCTGTTGTAAGTTACCTAGTCTATGGTATTTTGTTTTAAAGCCTAAACTGACTGTTACACATTTCCAGCTCTCTGGAGGAGGCTTTAAGCACAACCTACATCTTGCATATGATAATAACAGTAATGCTTCCTCTACTACTATAGGCCAAGCACGCTGCTAGCCGCTATGGTATATTCCAGTTAATTTCATCCAAAAACCCCTGCCAGAGACCTACTTCTGCCCTAACCCTAACCCTTTATAGGAGAAACATAAACTGAGGCTCAAAAAGGCACTAAGCCTACAATATCAAACCTGTGTGGTACTGACATAAGAAAAGACATATATAGGCCGGGCGCGGTGGCTCAAGCCTGTAATCCCAGCACTTTGGGACGCCGAGCCGGGCGGATCACGAGGTCAGGAGATCGAGACCATCCTGGCTAACACGGTGAAACCCCGTCTCTACTAAAAAGTACAAAAAACTAGCCGGGCGAGGTGGCGGGCGCCTGTAGTCCCAGCTACTCGGGAGGCTGAGGCAGGAGAATGGCGTAAACCCGGGAGGGGGACTTTGCAGTGAGCTGAGATCTGGCCATTGCACTCCAGCCTGGGCGACACAGCAAGACTCCGTCTCAGAAAAAAAAAAAAAAGAAAAGAAAAGACATATATAGATCCAGAGGATAGAATGAGTGTCCAGAAAGAAACCCATACATCTATTCCTTTTCTTTCTTTTTTTTTTTTCAGACAAAGTCTTGTTCTGGCACCCAGGCTGGAGTGCAGTGGCGTGACCTCGGCTCACTGCAACCTCCGCCTCCCAGGTTCAAGCGATTTTCCCGCCTCAGCTTCCTGAGTAGCTGGGACTACAAGCATGCACCACCACGCCCAGCTAATCTTTGTTTTTTTGTTTTGTTTTTTGTTTTTTAAGTGGAGTTTCACTCTTGTTGCTCAGGCTGGAGTGTAGTGGCGCGATCTCAGCTCACTGCAACCTCTGCCTCCCAGGTTCAAGCAATTCTCCTGCCTCGGCCTCCCTAGTAGCTGGGATCACAGGCATGTGCCACCACGCCCAGCTAATTTTGTATTTTTAGTAGGGTTTCTCCATGTTGGTCAGGCTGGTCTCGAACTCCTGACCTCAGGTGATCCGCCCGCCTCGGCTTCCCAAAGTGCTGGGATTACAGGCATGAGCCACCACGCAAAGCCATCTTTGTACTTTTAGTAGAGATGGGGTTTCACTGTATTGGCTAGGCTGGTCTCAAACTTCTGATCTCAGGTGATCTGTCCACCTTGGCCTCCCAAAGTGCTGGGATTACAGGCATGAGCCATCGCACCCAGCCCCCAGTGGCTTTTCAACAAGGGCCAACAAGATCATTCCGTGGGAAAAGAATCATTTAATAAATAATGCCAGAACAATAAGAAAAAGAAGAAAGTTCAGCCTCTCTGTCTATATATAGAATGGACCAACGGCCAAAATATAAGTGCTAAAACTATAATACTCCTAAAACAGAAGGGTCAATGTTCACAACCTTGGGTTTGGCGATGGATCTTTAGAGATGACAGCAAAAGCACAAGCAATAAAAGAAAAAAATAAATTGGACTTTATAAAAAGTAAAACTTTTGTGCATCAAAGGACATTATCCAAAAAGTGAAGACAATTCACAGGATGGGAAAAAATATTTGCAAGTCATATATCTGATGAGGGTCTAGTATCTAGAATATATAAAGAACACTTGCAACTCAACAACAACAACAACAACAATTTAAAAATGAGCAAAGGACTTAAACAGACATTTCTCCAAAGAAGGTATATGGTATGGTTTGGATGTGGTTTTTCCTTCCAAATCTCATGTTGAAATGTGACATCATTCCAGTATTGGAGGTTGGGCCTAGTGGGAGGTGTCTGGGTTATGGGGGTAGATCTCTCATGAATGGCTTGGTGCTGTCCTTGCAGCAATGAGTTCTCTATGAGTTCATCTGAGGTCTAGTTGTTTAAAAGAGCCTGGCACCTCCTCCCTTCTCTCTCACCACGTGACATGCCTGCTCCTGCTCTGCCTTCCATCAAGAGTAAAAGCTTCCTGAGGCCTCACCATAATCCGAACAGATACTGGTGCCATGCTTGTACAGCCTGCAGAACTGTGAGCCAAATAAACCTCTTTTCTTTATTATTTTATTTTTCGAGACGGGATCTCACTCTGTCACCCATGCTAGAGTGCAATGGTGTGATCATAGCTCACTGCAGCCTCAGTCTCCCAGACTCAAGCGATCCTCCCACCTTAGCTTCCCAAGTACTTGGGACTACAGGTGCACGCCACCTAATTTTTGGTAGCTAACTTTTTGTTTTTATTTATAATAGAGACGAGGTCTCGCTATGTTGCCCAGGCTGGTCTCAAATTCCTGAGCTCAAGTGATCTTCTCACCTTAGCCTCCCAAAGTGCTGGGATTACAGGCATAAGCCACTGCGCCTGGCCCTTTTTTTTTTTTTTTTTTTTTTTTTTGAGAGGGAGTCTCGCTCTGTCACCCAGGCTGAAGTGCAGTGGCTTGACTGTCTCAGCCTCCCGAATTGCTGGGACTACAGGCATGTACCACCATACCCAGCTAATTTTTGTATATTTAGTAGAGACGAGGTTTCACCATGTTGGCCAGGTTGGTCTTGAACTCCTGACCTCAAGTGATCTACCCACCTCGGCCTCCCAAAGTGCTGGGATTATACATGTGAGCCACCGCGCCTGACCCTCTTTTCTTTATGAGTTACCCAGCCTCAAGTATTCCTTTATAGCAACGAGAGTGGACTAACACCGTATACAAATGGCCAGTGAGCGCAGGAAAGGATGCTCAGTATCATTAGTCACTAGGGAAATGCAAAAAAGTACTCAGCTGAATTCGAGACTGGATCTGCCTGACTCCACAGACCGGGGCTCCTGGGTCTGTTCCCTTCCTGTCCCCACACCTGTCCACACCTTCTAAGGGCTCGTCTAGGGAGCTGAAGCAGCCAGGCCACCCAGGGGTGGCATGGCCATGGTGGGGCTGGAGATGATGAGATTCAGTCTTGGTGAAATCTAAAAACTCGATAGCCAATATCCCTACACAAACAGTCCTGGTCTGTTTGGGGTTGCTGCTGGATCCCAAAACAATGCCTGAGGCATAGCTGTTCAGTACATATTTATTGAATGAATGAAAGAATGAATGACACGGTTATGGCTTGAGAAGGGTAACAGGTCAGGTTCCCAAGGAACCCACAGATGAGTGAGCAGGTTTATTGAGGAGTGCTCTTGGAGGCAGCACCTGCGTGGGAGTGAGGTCAGCAGGACCAGGCCGAGGAGTTGAGCTGCGATGCAGTCACAACAAAGGCCTCAGTTATCCCTGGGGAAAGTTCTGGACCTGGAATAGTACTGTAGAGCTGTCCTGCCTGGGGAAAAGGGGGCCGGGCTTTTGTCCTCCATATTCAACAGTCATTGAAGGTGTGCTGTCCCGTGGGGTGGTGGGTCTAGGGTGCCATGCCTAGCGAGGGACTCACCTGGGCACTAACCATCAGCAACCAGCTCTCCCAGCAGCTGGGGAGTGACTGCATCTGTCTAGAGGGGGGACCTGGGCACATACCAGTGTCCACTGCAGCAGGCATTTGGTCCTCTCTCTCCTTGGGCTCAGTTTAACTCAGCTGCATTTAGTTACCACTAACATCCATCCATCCATTCATTCATTTATTCATTCATTCAACAAACATGTAGTAAGCACCTACTATATGCCAGATGCCGTGCCAGCCCCTGGGGCTATGGAGACATACAAGGCAGATGCAGCCCCTGCCAAAGGAAGCAACAGTCAAGTGGGGTGACAGACACAGAAACAGACACTACAAGATCAGATCGCTGCCTTCATCTCCCACTCACTGCCCTGCTGTTCCTAGACATGCCAGGTAACCTCCTGCCTCAGGACCTTTGCTCATACCGCGTCTTTGAAATCCATTGTATAACTAACACTGACAGCTCATCTCAACTCATATTAAGCTACCATTCAAGTGTTCAGTCACCCCATGTGGCTTGTGGCTTCTGTATTAGAGCAGCTCTGAGTAGAGGAAGGCAGGGGCTTTTTTTCTGTTGGCTACAGGTCCCTGGACATGAATTATCCACATTTTCCTCAACTTTTCAATAAACCAAGAAGAAGACCTGCTCCGTCACTGGCAAGACTGTGAACTCCCTGTGAAAACATCTGTTGGCAGCCCCCCACCATGTCCTTGTCATTAATTTCATTTAAAAAATTATCTTGTTTTAAGACAGAGTCTTGCTCTGTCGCCCAAGCTGGAGTGCAGTGGCATGATCATAGCCCACTGCAGCCTCGACCTCCTGGGCTCAGGTAATCCTGCCTCAGCCTCCTGAGTAGCAGAGACCACAGGTGCATGCCACCACACCTGGCTAATTTTTAAATTATTTGTAAACACGGGGTCATCACTATGCTGCCCAGGCTGGTCTCAAACTCTGGGGCTCAAGTGATCCTCCCTCCCTACTCTCCCAAAGCGCTGGAATTACAGATTTGAGCCACTATGCCTGGCCAAAGTTAGCTTTAATTCAGCACTTACTGTGTGCCTGACACTGTTGTAGTCTTTGCATAAGTTACCTCACCTTTTTTTTTTTTTTTTGAGACAGAGTTTCCCTCTTGTCGCCCAGGCTGGAGTGCAATGGCGCAATCTTGGCTCACTGCAACCTCCTCATTCCGGGTTCAAGCAATTCTGCCTCAGCCTCCCAAGTAGCTGAGATTACAGGCACCTGGAACCATGCCCAGCTACCTTTTTTTTTTGTTTTTTGGTTTTTTTTTTGAGACAGAGTCGCGCTCTGTCGCCCAGGCTGGAGTGCAATGGCCGAATCTCAGCTCACTGCAAGCTCCGCCTCCCGGGTTCACGCCATTCTCCTGCCTCAGCCTCCTGAGTAGCTGGGACTACAGGCGCCCGCCATTGCGCCCGGCTAGTTTTTTGTATTTTTTAGTAGAGACGGGGTTTCACCGTGTTAGCCAGGATGGTCTCGATCTCCTGACCTCGTGATCCGCCCGTCTCGGCCTCCCAAAGTGCTGGGATTACAGGCTTGAGCCACCGCGCCTGGCCTTTTTTTCTGTATTTTTAGTAGAGACGGGTTTCACCATGTTGGCCAGGCTGGTCTCGAGCTCCTGACCTCAGGTGATCCGCCCACCTCGGCCTCCCAAAGTGCTGAGATTATAGGCGTAAGCCACTGTGCCTGGCCATGTTACATCATTTAAGCCTCTTGATCATTCTGTACAGCAGACACAATGATTGTACCCATTTTACAGATGAAGAAACTGAGGTTCAGAGAGGTCAAAGAACGTACTCAAAATCACACAGCTTGTGCAAGGAAGAACCTGATACGAAACCCTGGCAGGCTGGCTCCAGAGCTTGTGTTCCTAATGTGTTCTCACTCATTCACACTCAGTCATTCAACAAACACTGGCCACTGGAATCAAGGTGGAGGTACATGGGGCTGGCAAGTCAGGAGCTCTGGGGCCAACTGTTTCTCTGCCACTGCATGGTTGAGTGGCCTTGGGCAAGACTCTGTCCCTCTCTGAGCCTCACTTTCCCCTTCTGTGGAATAAAGGGACTGAACCATCCTAACTCGTTTTTTCTACAGAGAGGACCTCTGTCTACTGCCAGACTTGATAATGAATTCCCCAAGAGTCCAACCTTTGGCCCTAAAAAGGGGGTTCAAGGAAATCCTCACACCCCACCTCTTGCAACAGCACTGGCCAATGGCCCCCGTGCTGCAGGTAAAACCATGGCCAAAGATATGGATGAAACAAAATCCAGCCCAAAAACAAAAGGCAAACATTTATTGAGCACTTACTCTGTGCCTCACGTGTCTCATTTCATCCTCACAATAACCCAGTGGAGTTTTATACCCATTTTACAAAAGTGGGAGATTGAGGTCTACAGAGGTTTAACTTATCCAGGTCAAACAGAGCAGAATCACATCCGCTCACCATACAACCCAGCGTTTCCACTTCTGGGTGTCTAACCTAGAGAAATAAAAACTTAGATTCAAGGCGGAGTGTGGCATCTCACGCCTGTAGTCCTAGCACTTTGGGAGGTCGAGGTGGGAGGATCACTTAACCCCTGAGGTCCAGGCCACAGTGACCTATGATGACAGTACTGCACTACCGCCTGGGCAACATAGCAAGGCCCTATGCCAAAAAGAAAAGAAAACCTTAGGCCCCGGGCAGAGGTGGCTCAAGCCTGTAATCCCCGACACTTGGGAGCCGAGACGGCGGATCACGAGGTCCAGGAGATCGATGACCATCCTGGCTTAACACGGTGAAACGCCGTCTCTACTAAGAAATAACAAAAAAACCAGCCGGGCCCGAGGTGCAGCGCCCTGTATCCCAGCTACTCGGAGCGCGAGGCAGGAGAAGGCGCAAACCCCCGACAGCCGGAGCTTGCAGTGACTCGAGATCCCGGTCCTGCACTCCAGCCCGCGCTACAGAACAGCAAGACTCCGTCTCAAAAAAAAAAAAAAAAAAAAAAAGAAAGAAACTTAGGTTCACACAAAACTATACATTAAGCTTTAGGGCAGTCTATTCTCATTCACCCAACTGGAGACAAGCCTGATTAACAGAGGAATTAACCAGCTGTGGTAATCATTCATTACCATAACTACTACTCAGCAATCGAAAGCGCGTGGGATGCAGATTAACATCAGCACTTGATGGATTCTCAAATACTTGGGTGTTGGCAAAAGAGCCAGACAAAGTTCACAATCTCAGGGTCCATCATGACATTCGGGCATAGCTAAAACTCCTAGGGACGGAAACAGACCATGGTTGTTCAGGGACTGGAACAGGGGAGGGAACGACAACCAAAAGGTACAATGTGGAATTTTTTGG